CGAGAGAGGGAGAATTAGGTCTCGGCTGAACGCCACTTTTGAGCCAGGAGAACGGCGTCCGTCTAAACAAGCAGTCAAACTCGAGGAGCAGAAAACTACAATTGCTCTATGGCAGGCAAGGTGGGAAGCGACCTCAAAAGCCGCATGGACGCATCGCGCCATTCCGGATATAGGTAGATGGTTAGGCAGAACTGTACCGTTAGTGCCTCTGACGTTCCACATGACACAGGCACTAACGGGCCACGGATGCTTTCAATGGTACCTGAACCGGATGGCGAGGGCCGACAGCCCACACTGTTACCAGTTTTTGGACAGCTCCGACACCGCAGAGCACACACTGTTCGAGTGCACCTACTGGGATCGATTCCGCGATCAGCTAGGTCATCGACCGACCGTGGCTGATCTTCCTCGGATTATTTGCGGCCCAGAGTTTGAGCTTCTCCCGGAGGATCTCACTGAGAAGTTCGTGATACTAAGAGACGCCGAGGAACAGTTCAGGCTGTTCTATGGTATGGTGGAAGGCATCTTGTCCGCTAAAGAAGAGGAGGATAGAGCCCGGCAGACCACCATAGCCAGAGACGCGACGGCGGAAGACGGGACCTAGACTATTTATAATAAAATATAAAAATATGATGTGTATAATGTGATAGTAGTGTGTGGGAGACTGGCCCACCACTGCTAATAAGGTTTTGTATTGATTATTCAATAAACGATGGTGGCCGGAGGAGAAGTATTGGCAACATAGTTCCTTCTCTGGTCCTCGATACCATGAGAAAAAAAAAAAAGGTATATCTGATCGATATGATAGACAGACCGTGCTTTTAATCGTTTTTATCGTAGGTATACAATAATTTATCATTAAATCCAAAATTAATATTATTTGTGGGAACATAATAATTGTACATAGGTAATAGGTATGTTATACATTTAGATTTGAGATTAATTTGAAAACTTATATTAACTTATATTATGGGGTTATTTTTTCCGTGGTTATTTTTTCGGGGTTTTTTTTTTTCGGGGTCTAAATTTCCGGGGTTATTTTTCTCGTGGTTATTTTTTCGCGGTACCCTACTGGTGACATAAAAGAAAGTGTTGGGGCGTTGGGGTTATTTATAGCATTTCGGGCTGCTTTCTCTGCTTCTTCGTTTCCTGTGATATTACAGCATAGAGTAATTACTCTATGTATTACAGTGACCCGGAGTCCATATGAATACTTATGAATTTATTCGATAGATGTATTAGGTTTTTTATCTTTATCGCCGCCTTATCAACCAAGCCAAACGTGTAATTGTGTCCAATCATAGACATATAAAACAAATATAAAAACTTTTATGTGTCCAATATACAACCAGTCATACCCATAGATAATGTATAGATTATATTATAATCTGTGGTCATACCCTCATACCGCACGACNATAATAATTGTACATAGGTAATAGGTATGTTATACATTTAGATTTGAGATTAATTTGAAAACTTATATTAACTTATATTATGGGGTTATTTTTTCCGTGGTTATTTTTTCGGGGTTTTTTTTTTTCGGGGTCTAAATTTCCGGGGTTATTTTTCTCGTGGTTATTTTTTCGCGGTACCCTACTGGTGACATAAAAGAAAGTGTTGGGGCGTTGGGGTTATTTATAGCATTTCGGGCTGCTTTCTCTGCTTCTTCGTTTCCTGTGATATTACAGCATAGAGTAATTACTCTATGTATTACAGTGACCCGGAGTCCATATGAATACTTATGAATTTATTCGATAGATGTATTAGGTTTTTTATCTTTATCGCCGCCTTATCAACCAAGCCAAACGTGTAATTGTGTCCAATCAATAATCATAGACATATAAAACAAATATAAAAACTTTTATGTGTCCAATATACAACCAGTCATACCCATAGATAATGTATAGATTATATTATAATCTGTGGTCATACCCTCATACCGCACGACATAATTACTAATGCATTCAACAATTAATCAATTAAAATAGTTTCACCGAAAACATTTATGAAAGCAGGCTTCGCTAATAATGAATTTAATCACATAGGAAGTTTTCGACGTCAGCTTTATATACATCCCGATGACGCCGATAAAATGCCCGGTTCAATTCTAATAAATTTCGATCAAACAGATTATCGAATTTTTCTCTCAGATGATACAGTGATAATATGTTACCTCTGTGCTCTGTAAACAAACCGGCCATATTTCTAATCATTGCAAAAAACAAATTGTAAATAAATCCCAAACTATGCTCATCGAAAATTCGACTATCTCCCAATATGCGGTCTACCTCCGTTTTGTGTGCTACGTAACTATAAATATGAGTATAGTATGCGGTCTATCAATGTTATGTGTTCTACCTATATAGCTGGGAATCCCGCATCATTTATATTTATTATCTACCAATTTATATGTTTTATCTTAATTTTTCATAACAATATATATTTTATCATATGGGTAACAATACAGGTTACTGGGTTAGTTGGTTTAGTGTCGTTTGTAGTAATACAACTTTTTTTAAATTTTGAGCTGAAAAAATAGTTTTTAAAATGCTGGTTAAAGAATTTTATAAAAATTTTTTAACCGAAGAATCTACTGTCAAATACCTTCAAGATTATGGTTTACTACCTTGTTATTATTATTACGGTAGATAATTTTGTAGATCCTTAATAAATAAAATTTTTTGTATAATTTAAATTATACTTTATTACTTTAATATTATTACGGTAGACCGCATATTGGGAGATAGCCGAAAATTCAAATCATATCTCCAATAATATAGACGCAGATAATAGTATGCTAATCGACTCAAATTTAAACAGTGAATCGCAAACAACCCTCGACACCAACCCGAATCCTATYTCCAACCAAACGGAAACAGATAATAATATTCTTATCGATCTAAGTACAAATAGAGTGGATAAACACATGAAAACCAATAGGGGGAAAAGGTAGAACGGGCGCAATCGTGTTACAGCCAGTTGGTCTAGCAACTGACATGAGAACTGTGCAATTTTTTTAATCATAGTCCGCTTTTGAAAACGGCCAGTTTGAGTAGGTACCTATATAAGCTACAAACATATATTTGGTTTTAAGATATAGTTTTTTTATCTGTTTTACTTCCATAATTATAAAATAACAATTATCAGCGTAGATATTTGAATTAATACGGATTCATATACWTAAGGATATTTTGATACTTTTTTAACTATAAATATATAATATTTTACAGGATTTGAATATTATTATCCCAGTTAATGAGTTAATACTTGGAGTTTGACATAGCTACAGCATTACAGTGACCTAGGCTAGGCTAGGGCCACTTTGCCCATCTTTTTATGATTAATGGTAATGGATGTTTTATTCCTAATTAGTCTTAAAACTTGAATTTGTTATTTATTAATAAGATAAATACATCTTAAAAGCCTAAAGATGAAATTTTTTCAACAAGTCTATAACGTGTTCCTGGCTAAATTTTTCAAATTTGCCAAATTATCGAAGATTGCAAGAAACAAGAATAAAAGAGTTCTGAAAGGAAAATATTGTTAAAGGTTGTACAATGTTTACTAAAAATGTTTTTAAAAAAATAATTGATTTTTGTTTATAAATACTAAATATTAATATTTAACACATTTATACAATTGTATTGAATATTTTTAATTTATTAAAATTGAACATTATAGTAGTCATACAAGGAAAATGGAAACATAGATTTATAATAAATCAAAACAATTTATTTTTGCAATAATTATTTTATTACAAGTAACCAATAATAATTTCAATACAATTAATAACAAAAATATTTATCAGGTAACTTAGTATGATTACTTTGCTCGATAAAACAAAAAGCGGCAGTAGTACTCAACAAAAATTAACACTACCAACCTAATTGTAAGGACGATGCAAATAGTTGTGAGGAATATTAATACTGAAATAATAACAATCTAGTCTTTAATTGTTGTTTGTTATAAATTGTGTAAAAAGCTGAACATATATTTTATGTAACATACATG